ATACTAGTTTACATGACACAAGATATTGGGAAGTTTATTTATTTCAAATGGCAGGCGTTTTGATAGTTATCATTAGCCCTTTAGCTGACTTCGGGCTTCACAGGGGGAAGGAACATCAAAGTAACAGAAAGTCGAGGGGTGGGGAACAGAAGAGTGAGTTACAGATGTAAAAGAGACAGAAATAAAGGCAGAGACAAGGTAGGATGAGTACTGTGAAGTGGTAGAATATGGCATACAGTTGGGCCATGGTAGTTTGAAGTCAGATGTCAACTGCCGAATAGACTTTTTTGTCGTAAAAGTATACGTAACCCAGGGTGCACCACGTGGAGGTAAGTCTATCGCACACCCCAGATATTGAGAAGTAAACTTAAATTTAGGGATCCTAGGAGACTTTCTAGCACTCTCAATGCGTGCCCTTACCTTATTTACCAAAGTGGAGATCTCAAGTTATAGTCCACAACCAGTAGCTAGAAAGGTCACTAAGAGAGATATAATGCACAATGGGATGTAAAATGTTCCATACCTGTGCTCTGAATTCTGATTATTCATATTCCGTAATCGGAGCAACCAGTGATCTATAGATAGTTTTTCGGATACTTGCACTTTAGAGCACCCAATCTTTAAGGGGACTTTAAAAATACTACTTGAGAAGATTTCCCTAGCCAAGATGCCTTCACGGGGTCCACTTACTAGTATTCTTAGTGTAAGTCTACCAGCCCCGAGGTCACACTCTATACTCAGCAAATGGAATAACCATTACAATAGGTTGGAAAATAGAACATTCCTTCAGAGGGGTCATAGTGCTATCCTTGTCCACATTTATTTAGTAAATACAACGACCAATGGACAAGAAAAGGAAAATTGGAGAGGAGAATTTTAACAGAAAACTAACTCACCCGATTTGTCCCCAAGAAGTCCAGTAAGGAATTTGAGCAAATCAATTCCATTTACAAAAGTTTGATAGAAGGGCCCATGGAAGTAGAACGACGTCATAGTCGTAGAAGGCAAAGGTGGTGGAGCAGTGTTAACCATTTCAGGTGCAAGAAGAAGGTCCGTATACTAAAATGTAATACACCCCGAAGAGGAGTTAATTAAGTTCTCCCTTTTACCTGTCTGATTAATAGAGACCCTCAATCAACCTACCTTGAATTTCGAGCCTATAAATGCTGCAACAACATCACCATGAGTATTTAAATGCTTAACCAATGCATCCCTCTGTTCATCAATGGTCCTCATTATATCTGTCACATTCTTAAGTGAATTTTCGCTGACATCGCCAGAGCTGATCATATCGACAAAGGGGACAGCTTTCATGACTAGTTTCAAACATGTTCCAATGAGGTTAACCAACTCTAAACGAAGGCGAATCCAGGCTCGCTAAAAACAATAAACCGGAGATTGACAAGTGAAGTAGACAGAGCATTTTAACATTAAACAAGTAAAATTACCAGATGATCGAAGCTAGCCTTACGATTATTTGGATCAGGAATTTTGCTAAAAGAAAAAAACATTAAGAAAATTGGTTACGCTGATATTAACAATAATTGAATAAGAAACCACAATATTTCAATGAAATTCTAGATCTAATGAAATGAAATGGCTTTAATTTGACATATTTTGTAATAATTAATAAATCTATGAGAGGTCATTGCATGTCCGATAAAAAATATATGACTAAAGGTGTACATTCAGTGATGTTGAAAACCAAAGAAGTTGAGAGGTGGTAGAACACGAACACGCATTACATCGGGTTGAAGAATATATTTCCGCTACACAGGTTAAGAGTTGTTTACACTTAGCTTAATGTGCTAGGGAAATATTAATTTAAGTCGATTTTATGCAGAGCTGACTTCGATCATCGTTGAAGTAACTCCAATCTTTAGAGTTGTCAAGTCTTAGGATAATAAATTCTACCAGGTTGCCTTTAAGAAGCCCTACATACATACCAATATGCTAGCACGCGATGGACCTGAGAGCTTGACAATTAGTTACAAAACTGCTATCTGTTCGATAGCCAAACCTCAGCTTTATTGAGTTAGTGTGGCCTTGGAGTAACTGCCCTTCCGTCGTATCTCTACCACTGGATCTTAGACAAAAAGCCTAGAAATAAGTAGTGGACGCATAGATCCTAACGGAAGAAACTAGACTCGCCACAACTGTAAGTTACTGACCTATTAATTTCAAAAAAATACATGAACTCGGACTATAAAGAACAATAGTATCACAGCAGTGATTGGACCCATAATTTAACTCACATAACATCAAAATTAATGGCACAACCATCTAATTATGATGGAGAAAGCAAATAAAAAATGCAAACATGTCAATTGAGCAATAAAAAACTTACTGATAAAATTCAGGAAGAACAGAGAAATCTCGGTTATCGCAGATGTGGCCAAGCGCTTCTCTAACTGAAATAGGGAATTAAAGGGACCAACTCTCTAATACTAAAAAGTTGGAATTAAGGGGTAGAGGAACTCACGCCGAATCAATTCACTGCTGCATGGTCCCATCTGTTCCAGAACATCGTCGAAACTGAATGGAAAGAAGAAATGAGAAGATGAGCCTTTTATTTCAAACAAAGCATACCCTTACCATCCCTATGACTACTAACCTTATGTTTAAATACAGCTCATACTATGATGGAGGAAGCTAAACATTTTACGACGAAGGGCCTAATGTATTCACCGCACTGCAGAAGGGTTTTTAATCTTAAATAGTAACAGATTTGACGATGACTACTCACTTTTGGAAGTTAATAACTTTGTGAATTTGCCTTAATTAGGGGGTTAGTGCGTTAATGAAGAGAAAAAGGCACTAAATATAAAGCACTATATGGGGAAAACAAGCTTTTTAGTTGCAATGACTTTAGAGAAAATTACGCTTCAAAAATACGGAATTCCGTAAAAGGGACTAAAAGATGTCCTCACTATTTTGAAATGAGTTGAGTTTATCCACCAATCTGCTTCCCTCATCTCAAGCAATCCACTCTCTGCAGATATAAAATACTTAGTTATTTAGCCAAATTCAGGCTCAGGATTACGATTTATTTTGTTAGAAGAGGATCTTGAACAGGGACCTTAAAAGGGAAATTTACTTTTGAAAAGAAATAGCATCTGTAATTGACACTTACAATTGTCTCCAAAAGAAACGCCCCTAAATACATGGAACAAAATAAGTTTTAGGTAATTCGTTGCTCACTTTCCGCAACCAAGAAGGACTTACCAATCACATTTCACCAAAACCTTGTTGTACATGAGTTCAGTTTGAGCCAGAACAAAGACATCAGTTCGACCGAGCATTTGCAAGAATTGGGTAGCTTCATGAATAGAGCCGAAGGCATTGCGTCGATATGATCGCATCAGACAATTTTCCATCTCTTGTTGAATAGTCTGAACCCGTGTGATTGTACCCACGTAAAAGTTAATCAAATTGGCATATTGGTGATCTGATTTTGACGAAATGCCGAATGCTGCTAGGAATGGTCCAGGAGTGATGGCCACGTGACTTAAAGACAAAAAACGCCAGTCACAATTCAATGTTAGGGTATTAATTGGGATGAAATATCTAGAAAAGTTCTGCAAAATCTCCATAGAATATTGGGGTCATAAGACAATGCAAACGTATAAAATAACTAACCAGATGGAAATGTAGAGGATCGCCCTCAAATTTAGCGATTCCAATTCTTGCAACAGACGAGGAACACAAGCGAGACCACCAAAAGGCGAGAGCATGGCAACGAGCTTAAGTCGCATGAAGTGGTTAGCAGGAGATCGCTTTAGACCAATATCCGAGAGCCAGTAAGCGCCAAGTAGGATACATCCCAGTCCCCGTTCCGTCGTTTTATCCACAGTCGAAGGATCAAGTAACTCCGAGACAGCAAGTTGGAGAAGATCATCGTAAGCTATTGTCTCCTTAGTGACATCCTTTTCATTAGGCAGGGGTATCATAGCGCGAGCCTGATAAGTACTGATAAGCTCCGTCAGGTCTATCCGTACACCATTTGTCCTCGCTAAACGGAAGGCGCATACCTCAGAGTGAACTTTATCGTCTGCGCTAAGTTTCTGCGAAATACACAACCACAGTGTCGTAAGTATACTTGAAGATACAGATGAACATAGGATATCAGGCCATTATCAATCGCGTTTATAAAGTGTATGTCTAACCACAATATCCAAGGATGACCTAGTCTCGGAGGCGTAGTGGTCAAAATACACGTGCCAAATCGAGGATATCGATATTTAAAAAATGATAGCGAATTTTCTAACCAAGGAACCATTGTGCCACTCTGTTGGCACTTACAATTATTCAAGAAAACTTCGATAAAGTTTACTAGAATAGTACAGCGTTTAACTTTAATGTCGGGGAAGTTAGAGATCACGAAAAAACTGACAATGGGTTTGCAACAAATAACGTGGATGGCCAATCAAGATGAATGATAGTTGTAAGCCAATAATAGGAATACCTCATTGGGAATAAATATTTAAAGCGCTCCAGGAAAAAGGCTTCTAGGAGTTCAAAAGTGTAAAGTGATTTGAACCCTGATAAATAGTCCAAAAAAAAATGGTCGCTGATTATTGTTTTCTCAATCAAGAAGGGATCATATTTACCTTCAACCAAATCATAAACCAATTGATATGATCAAATGAAAGAAAAATGATATATGCAGCGGCATGTTAAAAAAAGAACATACTGAAGAATTTTGATACGATTTAGCTTCTTCCAAAAGCGATTTAACCAACTAGAAAAGAAAAGACAATAAATTTTAAAATGACTTATTATGACGCCAATACAAGATGGACCGACTTACAGAAATCCGCGCTGTGTCAGATTTAACCAGAAGAGGAATAACAAAGGCTAAATCCAAAGAGCCAACCGGCTTTCGGCTGAAATCGTTAAAATAGTCCTTAATAAGTTGGACACAGAAGCTCTCCTTCGCTTTTGGATGTTCGATACCACGCTTAATTAAATTAGCCGAAAAATCAATCATGGCGAGACGAGGCCCTCGACTTTTTGGTGATGCTTTTGAGTACTTTTCTATTAATTCGAGAACATTTTCACGAAAACTTTCATCGGCAAAACATTGCCGAAGCAAAGACTCCCAAGCAAACCAATTGTCAGCGTCGACATTTAGCAAATTCTCACAAACTTTGACCATTTCAGCCCAATTATTAAGTTGGGAATAAACTTTTAATAAGAGTGGGTTGTAATCATGGTCATAATCCAAGGTATTAAGTAGTCCTAGGGAAGAAATAAAAATAATATCGAATTCACTAATGCTTACCAATCAGTTTCTCATCATTCAAAAGCGCCAAAACTTCTTCAAACTTGTTTAACCGAAGGAGAATTGAAAGGTAAATAGAGAAATCATCATGGGATGTGAAATGACCATCATCTAATGCCTTTTTAAGCATCCTTTCGGTCAAAGGGAGGAATAAGCGAGTGGCTGAAGCTGCATCTTCTTCAGCTTGGAGCATAGTGCTAAGGGCCATCCAGAACTTATACCTTCGGTCAGAATTATCGATTTGGCACAATTTGCGCGCAGTAGCCTGCTGAGCATTAAAGTTACAGGACCGAACGTAGATGTAAAAGAGGCTTAAATGAAGATCCTTATTATCAGGATATTTCTCCAAAGCAGCTTTGATATAGGACTCCAGTGTTTCCTCTAAGTGTACGTAGGATAAAAATTTTAACATTACCTTCTTTTAGCTCTCGAAAAAATATTGATAAAAATTGCAATGTATCCGAATCAGCGGGTGTTTTCTGCATTACCGAAGTCATAAGTTCGTACGCTTCGGACAGTTTTGAAGACCTTAAAAGAATAAGAGCTTTCAAAGCCTGCAAATAAAAAGCGAAACCCAAATTACATTGGCTGAGGGCGATTTTGGATTCTTCTTAAGTAATTTATTTATTTCGGTGATTGCCCGTTTGGTATTTTTATATTCAAGAAGTTCTAACAAGGAATTAAAATAACTACCAAAATTTATACCAAAAGCTTCGTGAAGTCTTTCATCAGTAGACTCCAATTCGGCAAACATAACTAAAGCCCGCTAATAACGCACCGGTAAATGAGATATCGAATTGTTCGGTGAAATATTAAATATGAAAAACAAAATATACGAATTTTATCTATTTTTTTAAATTTAAATGATATTTTTTGATATAGCGATGTAAATCTTTAGTTTTTATATATTTTAAACCGTAATATACTTAATCGACTTGCATTAATAATTATTGAATGTATATTAAAGCCATTATTTATTTTTCTATTTTTCTATTTTAATTTTGTTCAATATGAAAGGCCACAGCCTTGGATGCAAATAACGCCATATTACAGCAGTTGATTTCGTATTGCGTTTCTAGATGCTCTTTGGTTTTCCAAGGCCTTAGAAATTTGAGCGTCTTTCTTTGCCTACTTATTGTACATTCGTGTAGTTTTAGATTTTCCGAAAAAAGCTGTATGTAGTTGAATGGCAGACGGATCTAGAAGATTGATTAAATGCAGACCAACATCTTTTGTATCTAGGGATTGGCAAAATTCCCGTGTGAGGTAGGCCAAATATTAGTATATTTTTCATATCTATCGGATATTTAAATTGCATAGTTTTTATTCTCGATTGTACTAGTGACATTCATTTTTTCACAGGTTCACTCACAATGAAATCGAACGCAAGCGTCGTGCCCGACTCAAGTCGGAAACCGACTTTCTTCATCAGCAACTCCCTAAGGCCGTTTACCGCGACAAACTTGCTATTTTTAAGGCTGGCACTGACTTGCTTCTCCATTATTCAAGTGAATTGTCCGAATAACAATTGTATTAAATTATTTATAGATTTGGGTGGCTACGAAACGCGCAACTTAATTCTTACGAACAACGAGTATTCAGAATGTATACTAGAGGTACGGTTAATACTAAAAAAACTCATCAAAAGAAATCTTAGAGCCTTACTGATGGATTTGGCATTAGAATTCGATGTGAGGACGGTGTGATTTTACAAGCTACAAAGAATTGGGAAAAATGCCTAGGCTCCGAATTTGTAATTTTGATTTAAAGCTCTGACATTTTCTTTGATTATTAAATTAGTACTAGTGTCTTTCTTTAGGCACCGTTAATCGGCAAAACCATATTTGATCTCATTGTTCCAACTGAATTAACAGAGCAAGTTATTCGTGACAATCTTTTCCTATCTTCTGATGACCGTGAACTAGTCTCAAGTGGAGGTATGTAATTTCAATCACCTAAGGTTCTATATTGAGATTGAACGAGTTTTCTAAAACGGTAATACCTATTTCAGTACCTGTAGCTCGAACTTTCATACTTCCTCTTGCTTATAAGCAGAACGCTTCATTTGAATGCCAAGAAATCAACCATCGGCTCCTTGATTGCTGTGGCGATATCGGTGAGTTTTGTATTGATTCGTTTTTCATGTTATTTATAGTTTTTGTTTCTCATTTTTTGTTGGTATCATGTAGTATGCAGTTCTGTTAACTCATAGATCGAAATTTCGGACTCGTTTGAAATGTCTTTTAGCGCCAACTAATGTTGAAAACTGAGTTTTATGCCAGTTTATCAATCAGAAATGAATAATGTTCCTTGCATTGTGTCTATTATTTCTATTTTAAACACCATTCTACAATGGGTTTTGTGGTTAATTCATGATTATTTGGTGTTGGTGTTCGGTTTAGGCATTGAACGCATTTTTATAATTTTCTAATTTTACCACTTGCAAATATGTTCTTACCTTTTTTACTAAACGCTACTCATACCTCCGGAGGAGGAATATAGTGGACTCTGCTCAGATGAATTCTATTAAGAAAGTACCTTTATGCGGGATTGAATATTAATTGACAAGACCGCCCATCCGAGTAAGGGTCCGTGGGAGGATTTTCGGAAAACCCCGATATATTTTAAAGATATTTACCTATCAGAGTGCCATATATGATCATTATTAATTAATTTTCGAGATGCTTATGATGAGAAGCAGGGGTGTACGATAGATTTATTTCTATGTGGTGCTTCCTGGGGAACGTAAATTTATACGACAAAAGACTATAAACCGGCATTTAACTTCTGACTCAAACTAACATGACCCCACTGTAGGTCATAATCGACCACTTCCACAGCACTCATCTTACCTTTTCTCTGCATTTGTGCTTGTCTGTCTCTTTTACATCTGTTAATCACTCTTCTGTTCCCCACCCCTCGACTTTCTGCTACTTCTCTTCTGTTCCCCACCCCTCGACTTTCTGCTACTTTGATGTTCCTTCCCTCTGTGTAGTCCGAAGTTAGCTTAAGGGTTTATGATAACTATCAAACGCCTGCCAATTGATATAAATAAATGATGAGAAGCATATAAACTTTCATTGGTAACTCGTAAATAAATTATATTTATGATCAAAACTCCAAAATACTGCCTAATACTGATTCTTGATGAACAAGAATTCCATCAGCCTGATTGATCGGTTTCTCGTCTTTCCTTACTTAACCAAATCACTTGATTAATTACTTCTGGGCTGGTGCTATTATTCTAGGTTTAACGGTAGCCCTTACAGTTTTTTTAAATATTTTCTTTCCGGTACTACTTTTCTTCATACAGGTTCCGATTTAAAATAGTCTGTGTCTTTAATATTTCAGTTATGTCTTCAATAGATTCCAGCCCTGATGAGACTGAACCCGTATTACAGGTCATCTGCTATCTTTTGGAAGATCGCCCATTAAATTCGAAGGCGTCTTCTGATGGTAAACTATTTTCCCTTCGACTTCAACCGGAATCGCATTTAATAGTTGAATTTCAAGGACAGTAAGTTTTTCTTCATATTCTTTAAGCCATCAGTATAACCACTACTGAAAGCGTTTCTTGTATAGATCTCTACCTGGCGGCCTACAGTCAGAAGATATATTAGGTCACTCTCTAATCGATCTCACTTTGCCAGAATCTAGGTCAAATACTGAAGCGAATCTTCAGAACGGTAAGCAGATTTTGCTCGAATTTATTTGAGCAAGTAAGGCTCATTCTAGCTTATATTTGTTCACTACAGCGGAACGTACAGGCGAGGCAAGGTTCAAATTCCGCCTACAGAACTCTACTGAAGAATTTTTGGTTGTGACGAGAGCAATCACCGTTTGCGATTGTTTGCATTGCCTTGTTGCGGATTTTTATCCATCCCAGCATTAACTACTCTCTCTTTTTATGTCCTTGTAGTTTATCAGATAATTTGCTTTTATTGAAATACAACTACCAATCCAACTACATTTTATTAAAAAGGCAGGTAGAAAAATAGAACATTCAAATCTGGTATTGGAAGAAGTAATTTCTAGTCTGCATCCTCCAGATCTAAAATTTCGGGCTCAAAGCCGGCGCTCCTAAGGAGTGCTGCCGGGTCGGGTCTGGGCTCGACGGAATAATCAATCCATTCATATAATGCAGCTCGAGCTGCCATTTTGTATTTAGTCATTTCGTACCGCAATTTCTCGATTCGCTGCTAGTTTAGAGAAAAAATTGCACGGGAAATGTTTGATTTACTTCTTCGTAAATTTTTAGAAGTAGGTCGCATTTTCTTTTGATCTCCTTCTTTTCTTCTAATACTTGTTGAGTGTCATCTAACCATTTTCTAAAAATTTACATATGATCATACCGATTGACCGACGTCTTCTGGCGTTCATAACCAATTAATAAATAGTGACGAAAACCTTGCTGTTCAATAAAAAATAGCATTTAATTCAGATAAATAGACATTGAACAAGAAAATTAAATTACTACCTAAAAGGTGATTCCATTTCAAATAATAATTTTATAATGCAAATAGTAAGTGAATTCGAAAAAAACGAATAGCTGAGAAGCTAAAGCTAACTTGACGTACACAAAAGGCCGCGCGATTATAAGTGATAAAAACAAAAAATTGATATGAGACATGTTAGTTATCCTTGAAAATTAGTCCAGTAAATTAAAGTTTTATTGCATTCAGGGTACATGGATTTCATTACAGGTAAGCAAAGTTTGAGTCTTTATGTCGTTTGAATAAAATCTTTCGATATAGCTTTTTACTTAGAGAAACGAGTCATACCACTGTGATTTGCAAATGAACCTGATACTTTGTAAAAACTGGGCAGCTATTTCATGCCCAATCTTTGATGAGTGGGATTGCAATACTTTCGTTGCCT